TTACGCGAATAACTGCAATTGCAGATTTTGAACAGAGATGGCGACAAAGAAGAAAAACTACGTACTGCAGCTTTAAAGCATAAGCGTCTGACAGTCCTCAAAATACATGTAGCTCATCAGGTAGCGTAAAAGAACAGCCAAAATTCTCTAAATCCCACAAATGCTGGAGACAAGCTGTCTTTCCACCCTCTCATATGTGCTGAAAGGGCCCCAACTCAACGCTTACTGATCCCTGCATTACTAGCATGGTTTGACAGAGACATTATGGCATGAGATCATTGACAGATAAAGCCGGATGGATACAAACAGCAACCGGCTCATCAGATCAGATTTTTCAGGCATGTTGTAAGAGGCATAGACCTCATTTGTGGCCCACAACAACCCAACATGGAGAGCCGTGTCAACAAAAGAAACAAGCCGCCTTGAATCTTTAGTCAATGAATATTGAGTAGAGGCGTGACTACGTCAAGACTGAACAAGTCAGTCGAATACGTCAATGTGGAAAATACGGCCCCTGCAAGGTGGAAGAAGGGCACCTTATGGGTATAAATGCCTTGTTGATGCCATAGTTCAGAGGAGAATGACCAGAACAAACAAATCGTCCAACATTGAAGCAGACGGGCTAGCAGAAGAAAACACACTCCTGTCAGCTGAGAACAGAATGCCAGTCTACAATTCACACGCACTCCCCAAGACTGTGTGATGGTGAGGGGAATATTTTCTTGGCACACTTTGAGCTCTTTCGTATCAATTGACTATCGTTTAAACGCCACAGTCTACCCGAGTATTGTAGCTGACCGTGTCCAACCCTTTATGACCACAGTGTATCATCGTCTGATGGATACTTCCAGCAGGATAACACACCATGTCACAAAGCTCAAATCATGTCAAACTGGTTTCTTGAACATGAGTTCACTGAGTTCACTAAACTCAAATGGCCTTACAGCTACCAGATCTCAATCCGATAGAGCAGCTTTGGGATGTGCTAGAATGGGAGAATTTGCATCGTGATTGTGCAGCCGACAAATGCTATTGATGCTATCAATGTTTCTAGCTCCTTATTGAATTGATGTCATGAAGAATTAAGGCAGTTCGTAAGGCAACTAGTAAGGTGTACCTGCACCGTAAAAAGTGATCAGTTGACTAAACTTAAAAAAAGTGAGGAAACCCATTGCCTTAAAATGATTAAGTACATAAACTTCATGCATACTTGAGAAAATTATGTAACATTTATGTAACTTTTAAAAAAACTTTTGCTGAATTTACTCACCACCATGTCATCCAAGATATCCATGTCTTTATTTCTTCAGTCGAAAAGAAATTAAGGTTTTTGATGAAAACATTCCAGGATTTTCTCCATATAATGGACTTCAATGGGAACCAAAATATTCAAGGTCCAAGTGAGAGTTTCAGTGCAGCTTCAAAGGGCTTTAAACGACACCAGACAAAAGAACCCTTCGAATCATGAAAAAGATTTGTTGATTTTTTTTTTCCTTTATTTATTTATCAGGGACAATGCACAAGATACATTAGTCTTGCGAAGAGATGCTTTGTGCCAGAGTTAGCCTAAGCTAGTTTTTTATCCGCAGTCCCCGGGCAGGTGCACACAATTTAAGACATTAGAACATTGCAAAACAACTATCAATAGTAATATAGCTACACATATTAGTCTATGACAATCATATAAAAACAATCAGATACAAAAAGAGATAACATATTCAAAGGACCATCTCTACTCACAATGTATACATTAAACGCACTGATGCTGACACAGCTGGTTCTCAAGTATGTATTTCTTTAAGTTTTTAGAAAAATGGTTCACATCTGCAGACAGCTTTAAATGGTAGGGGAGTTGATTCCATTGTTTTATAGTTTTAAATGAATAAGCTGTCTGTGCAAAGGCGGATGATCTTTTCGGGAAAGCCAAATTTTTATGAACCGTTGATCGAGAAGTTCGATTTGTTAGTTCCGAATAAAATTTTATGTAATTTTTCATTAAATTACATTTTCATTTTGATGAATGAGTTCGAAAAGGAGAGTCACGAACGCTCATCACAGAACAGAGCAAGGCGAGTGCCCTTTGAACAGTTTGCACTGAAACTGTCTTTTGGACCTTGAACCATTTGGTTCCCATTGAAGTCCATTATATGGAGAAAAATGGAATGTTTTCTTAAAAAACGTTAATTTCTTTTCGACTGAAGAAAGAAAGACATGGACATCTTGGATGACATGGGGGTGAGTAAATTATCAGCAAAAGTTTTTTGTTTTTTTTAACTACTCCTTTAAGTTTTTTTTTTAAGTAGCTGGTGAGTGTATCTAAAATGTCACATAACCATAAACAAAACATCCGCAAGATCCAACTAGATAAGATTAGTGACTTGGCCAATACAGTTTCAGAACAGAAGAGGTTATTTACCACAACACCAAGGAGGAAAGAACGAGAAACCAGGTAACCAAACAGCTTCCTGAACAACTTCCTCTGTGTTGTCCACCATTAGTGTTTACAGGAGGGCAGATCCCCCATACCACCCATCCTGGAGGACCAACGGCGTAATTATAGCGACTCCTCCTGCGAGGATCAAAGCAGAAGAGCGTTCCCACACTGCACTTCCTGCTGGGACATGTTGCAACAGCTTTGTTTTAAACAAGCCCTCCACACACACCACAGAACTGTCTACTTGCTTCAAAACTTAGCATAAACCCGACATGAAAATGTCTTGCCTCAGTAAACGACTCGTAAACAATCGTGGAAAGTTGTGCGCAAACCGGTCCCTATCCATCCGTGGGACAAGTTTGACCTTGATGTTTCAATTGTTAATGTTACACAAAACACTTGACGTCAGAATCGACCTTGGGAAGATACCACATGCTGGATCAAAACATCGGCTTGGCAGCGCTTATACAATCGTGACCAAAAATGACACGATTTAATCCATTTTTTTCTCAAATTAATCAAGTAAAAGCTGTTCCATGTTACGGTTAAAGATCTACCGAGAAGGCGGGTTTATTGTGTCTTAATCTCAGTGAACTTGAGCGGTTTCCAGGAACTCTGCAGCACCTGCTGGGTTCCCAGGGGGTTGAGCGGAGGCCCGCGGCGCGGCGGAGGTGTCGCTTCAATCCCTTCGCCTCAGCTAACCCGCGGCCTGGATCAGAGCTTTTCCCTGTAAGGAACCGCGAAATTAAAGCTCACAGCTACTTTATCTGCTCGCTTTACTTCAAAGGTGGATCGACCTGGTTTTGGAAAAATTAGGCCTTTGGGTCCACGGGAGTCTTGTGTCAAAGTAACTATGATTTATGATGCATTAGGGGACTGCTAAGCTAACAACAACAGGGGTCATAAAGAACATTATTCCAAAGTACATAAATTTCCGTGTACATCAGCGGTTTTTCCGAACATAAAATAGTTTTTAAAAGACGTAATATTACCTGATGAAGTGCAGATGTGCCTAGCAAAAGCAAAGTTTTTATGACTGGGGCAAATTGTCGCACTTTTTTTACTCAAGAGAAATCTTCTCAGGTTTGGTTTATTGAACACCACTGTCTGTGTCACAAATCTTAATGTTTTGACCACAAAAAAGTAATTTCTACCATCAGTGGTCAGGGATTTATTAGCTAAGCTAAGGCATGTTGCCACAATGCATTTCAATAACGTTGAAGGCATAGGCGATTTCTTCCAGAAATATTTTTTTTGTTATGCTGGTTGAAAATCTCTTCACATCATAATAGCAATCAATAAATTTAACTGGTCTTGTATACATATTGTCTGTGGAAGGCATATAACCATAAAATGTTCGTCCAATCATTGCATCCAGACCGAATGCAATGATTGGAGGAACGGCTCTATGGGCTCTATGCACGGCAGTATTTCCGGTGAAGCATTAGGGATGCTCGATAACTTCCGCCGATCGTAGAGTCCAATGCAATACCGAGAATTTATATTGAATTTTATACTCCATGGTTATACTAAAGAAACGTTAGTCACAAAAACAGATAAAACAGACACCCCTCGTTGTGTTTATGCTTCTTTTTTTTTTTTTTTTGTTATGTGCTCTTTGAGACATGAGGAGGTTTAACGCCGCCTCTGGAGACGCTTTTGTTTGCTCCCGAGTCCCGACTGTGCGCGTTCATGTGTTTTGAAGAAGTGTCTTTGGAGACACTCTGAAGGGACGATGAGAGGGATCTTATCCTTTCATTGCGAGCTTGCTAGATTGCCGAAGTTACGACGTCATTCTGTAGGCCAAAACGCGGAAGTGAGTTAGCATTTTAGCACTACTGGTTCCCTCGCTCTAAAGTCTATGGGATTTTTGAATGGGGTTTTGCGAAATCGCCTGAAAAAAGGTCTGTGGTGAACAAAGCCTCTAAATATTTTCACGTTTTGATCTATGACATAAAACACACAGTTATAACCTGTTCGTGGTATTAAAAAAAAACTTTATTGTGTCTGCTTGTGTGTTTTAAAAACTTTATATAGGCTTTAAAATGTATGAATTTTGGATTAACTTGTACATATTATCTTGATACGTGTAAAACGTGTAAGGGTCACAACTCACTGTTGAACACAGATCTTATTTTTTGCGATTTTCCAAGTCTATTCAAAAAGTCCCGCGCGCATAGCCCGTGCGCCGCTAGCTTCCGAGTTGTCGTAAAGCGACGACGTTTGCTAGCCTCTCCGAAAATAGCTTTCCCACCTTTAAAGTATAAAAAAAGTAAAAAAAATATAAAATGAGAAACTATTTAGGCCTAAAAAGAAATAATTATGAGGAATATAAACTATTATAAACATAAAACGTTCTATTGGTTGTCAATGCGACGATTTGACGTGACATCATGCGTGGGAAAACCATTCATCCTCAGTCGAAATTCCAGATCAAGTGGGTTCCTGTTGATTTGACCGTACAAAGGTGGATGTGACGGCACCATATAGCCACAATGTAGGTCTACTTGTGAATTTCTTTTTTTCTTTTTATTTTTTTATAAAACATCAAATTAGACACCAAGTATAGGAGGACTGCAATTTGTTTTATTAAAATAATATGCTGTTTTTTCTTCACATGTGAATCAATCAAAGGAGCCAACAAAACAACAAGGACATAAAAATGATCAATAACCGTCCGTTTCAGATGAACATTAATAGATCCATTAAAAGAGCTGCACAGTTGAACAAACACGTCTATCGGAGCACTACTTAACACTCCGTGTGCTATATAGGGAACAAGCACAAATAGATCTTTAGCAGCTAAATATGGAGCATGTACACTCTGGGTGGAGAAGACAGTATCCATCTGTGCTTCCGACTAGCAAAAATACTTCCTGCATGCTTGCCAGAACATTTTCCTGATTGACACGGCAAGCCAGGACAAGTCGACTGGACCTTAAAACAGCTCGGTTCGTTTTTAGCATGAGAAAACGGATCAACTCAGATCATAAACGTGATCATATTTAGCCATATCTGTATATTAAACAGAACCTTTTTTTTGGGAATAGCGACAATTCAGGGAAAACTTTGTAAGCACCCAAAATGCGCGTCTCAAAATTAGTACAAGCATTTTATAAGTTGTAAATAAAATGGCCGATATACTTACCGTTCATTTTAGCGAACAACGTGTTTTTGATGGTAATTTAGAATTAGCTTCGTCCCAGGGATTCAACTGGAATTCTTCATGACAGGCATGCAGCTAATGTAGATTTTCACGGGAATGACATCGAGAGATTGAGGCTGTCATTCAACTCTATGGCCATTGGCTAGTGTCTACACGTAAACCTGCGGTTATTAGATAAAGTAAATCTAGCACATCTAACGATGACGATCATCATCTGAGTCTCGGGAACAGTCTTATGAACAGGATCATGCTGATAAACGTGAAGGAGACCAAGATCAGCATCAGCCACAGGAACCAGTTGACGGATTTCTTGGCGTGCTGTTCCAGGCGATCCGACTCGGTCTTCAGCTTCTCGAAGTTCATGTCGGCCTGACGCATGGACTGAGTGAGGGTCTAAAAAGGACGAGGACATTTTACAGTATGTTCAATGCTATTGAGGAGACTATTTTAAGAATGGCGAGTTCACCCAGTAGTGAAAATTCTGTCACATTTACTCACCCTTAAAGGGATAGTTCACTTTGAAATTAATTTTTGATATGTTTTAGTTTACCTCAAGGGCATCCAAGATGTAGGTGTCTTTGTTTCCTCAGTATTTTAAATTTTTATATTTTTAGGTCAAACCGTTCGTGTCTATCAGTCATATAATGGAGGTCTATGGTCACCACCTCAAAGAGCATGCACAGCGAAGTCCAATTTAAACATGATTTAATGACTCGTAAATGTAAGTACACATTGATGGCCTAAGACACGAAACGAGCGGTTTGTGTGAGAAAACGAACAGCATTTATATCGTTTTAATTTTTTTTCCTACATTGAAAACGAACACTATCAACATTCTTCAAAACATCTTCTTTTGTGTTCAACAGGAGAAAGAAACTCTTACAGGTTTGGAACAACTTGAGGGTGAATAAATGACAGAATTTACATTTTTGGGTGAACTATCCCTTTAAAATCCACACTAGTGGGTGTAAAACTACACTAATATGCTGCTGCCCTCTAGTGGTCACACAACAAATATTCCACGAACGACTTCAAGTTTCTGCTTTACATTTTATACATGGTCTTTATTACGGTGACTTTCTTTGAAACAATGAAATAATAATCATAATAATAATAAAAAGCTTGAATATGCTGATTTAAAAAAAAATTAGAATTGAAAAACATTTTTCATATATACACATACCCAAGAGTATTTATTTTTCTATAAATTGAGTATTAAAAATAGCATTTAAGCAGGTAATAATAAATTTAAGGGAGATAAGAAAAACATGAGACCTGGTTGTCCTGCTTTATGATGTTCTGAGCCGCGAGCGAGTTGTTCTTCAGGTTGCGAGCGAGGTTCAGCATGTCATCGGCCAGTTTCTCCTGGAGATTGTTATGATGCTGTAGAATAGCGTCCAGCTCTGTCGCCGACTGTCGCTCATCTACAGGAAAACTCCTGAGAAATGAGGAGAAATTAACCCAATGCCATCCACGCGTGGTTCAATAGAAATCAACGACAGCATGACCTACTTTCTGTGTCTGAGATCCGTCTCCAGTGAACCTAACCATCAAGAACAGAGAAAAATGCAAAATCAATAACTGTAATTTACTTTCTTAAAACGTAGCATTTAAATTAAAACATAAAACACAGCTTACCGGAATTTGACACACCCTACCAAGAAGAGGAAAGAGAAGAGTCGTTAACAATAACACTAACTATTTAAAAAAAACATTGCTACTTGCAAAATAAACATTAAATGAAAGAGAATATAGAAAACTATTTGTTTATTAGAAATAATTAAGCTAAAATAAAATAATATAATATATATATACTTATTAAAAATTAAAATACAATGGTATATCAATGACACTAAAATAAGAGTTAAGACTTGTTTTTTGACAATTTTGTTGCTTGATTTATGCAAAAGTGCCATCAGATTGATTAATCATAATTAGGGCTGTCAAACGGTTAATCGCAATTAATCGCATCCAAAATAAAAGTTTGTGTTTACATAATATACGTGGGTGCACGGTGTATAATTATTTTATATACACATATACATGCATGTATATTTCAGAAAAAAATGTATTTATATATGAAATATTTATATATATATTATAAATCAATCTATATACAGTATTTACATGAAAATATTTCTTAAATATATACATGCATGTGTGTGTATTTATAAATATAAAATAATTATACACTGTGCACCCACATATATTATGTAAACACAAACTTTTATTTTGGATGCGGTTAATCGTTTGAGAGCCCTAATCATAATTAATCATATCTAACAAAAGTTTATATATATATTTACAAACGTTTATGTTAGATGTGATTAATTACACAGCACTAGCATAGCTATAATACAATTATGTGTTTTTGTTTTGTAAAGTTCTTGTTTGAAGGATGTTTTGGTAGTTTTTGGCTTTATGAGAGTAAAATGTTTTATTGTTACAAATATCATATAACCAAAAAACTCCATGAATGTATAAAAAGTACATTTGTGGTGTAAAGAGGTAAGAGTCATACGGTGCTCATCAGTTCCTTCCTCATTTCTTCAGCACATCTCGCTTTACTCTGTATGTGCACCATCTTACTGGCCGGCGTTCTCTCGCTGGATATCGTAGGTGTCCGTCCAGGTGCCAGAAACTGATTCGCTAAAGACTTCTCTGCTGGAGATGGCTAAAAGCAAACAAAACATTTCTTTACTGTAATATGATTAGCATGATGCATTTTCTGCCTATTGTCATTGATCACGCAGTGAACAAATAATAAAATGACTGACCAGTTTGTCTGCCTCCAAGAGACCCTTCAGGAAATCCACCTTGCGGTTGTAGTCGGTCAGTATTTCCGGTGTTGGTTTGCTAGGAGAATCAGAAATAAATATAATGTTTGTAGTAGTGTCTATAGCACAGTCTGAGATGTTTCACAAATATAAGAAAACAACTACTAGCTGTCTGTTTTGTTAATCTCAACATCATCTTGAGGTTCACGTAAGAATTGACAAACATTTTCACACAATAAATGTCGAAATGGTTTATAATTATGATTTGTGACACATTATTGCCTGAAATGTTATATAAACATACCTTGAACTCTTTTTAAGGGCTACAAGCATCTCCTCCAGAGCACCAACATACTTAAAAAGAAATTTTTTTTTATGATTTTAAAAATATTGCATTGAGACATACAGTTAAGAAGACAGTGAGCAAATAAGCAATGAACTAATTCTAGTGTGTGACCCATTTATACGAATGATTGTATTGTTAATGACACGTAATTCATAAACCGGTATGAATGAGGTTGGTATTGTTGCTTTGCTGTTTTCATGCAGAGAAATCTCTTTTGTAAAATTAAAATATTAACTTCAAACGCAGATAATTAAACGTAAATGTAATGTTGTTTTGAATTACCTTTTCTAGTCTCCATTCTGTCTCGCCTCTTTTCTCTGAAGCCAGAGATTCACAGCGTGATAATAACCTGATGAAATTGATCTCTAGTCTGGACGTGGCCATATTTGACACTCAAAGCGGAAGTCGCGCACCGAGCGACAAATTAAGAGTCCTTCTAGGTGACGCAGGAAAGCTTTACGTATCCAGAGTGCGGGTGGTAACTTGATGCAATATATATTGCAAATGTCGACAGTAAGCAAACAATACAAATATAAAATATAAAAGGGACTTGCATCATTTCAGTGAGAAAAGGTTTATATTATATTTTCTAAAAGGTCTCCGAAGATGTAGGCCAGGGGTGACGTCAAGCGTAACCGTACACTTTTTCAGATCACGTGTAATTTTTTTTTATTATCTGTAGCTACGTGAGAAAAATCAAAAGGAAAAATTTCTCAGTTGTAAGCAAATGATGTAAAGTAAAACAGTTAACACAGGATGTGAACAGCTGGAACAGAAAATACACTTAAAAAAACAAAAAAAAACAAGAAACAAAAAAACAGGGAACATGCATCACATCTACATTTCGTTAATCAATATCCAGTTAAACATAAATATGAGTCAACAAAGGAATGTGATCAACATCAAACTCTTTTGCAAGAGTCTTTTTTGTTGTTGAAGAAAATTAAGAAGTGCTAAGTTGATTCATGATTAATATCAGAAAGTTATTAATGAAAATAAGTAACTAAAGCTGTTGTTCAGTTTTGTTGGTGTCTCTTTATTTGGTCTGGAAAGTAACTGGAAAGTTATTCTTCACATCTATAAAAAGAACTTGATGAATCTCCAAGAAATTACGCAAACCGACATGATCTACTCCCATTTCCAAAAAAATATATATGTTGTAGCTACTTCCATTATTATTAGATTACTTAAAATTAAAACAATGTCAACTGTTTTAGAAAGAAATTATATTAAGATGTATATTTAGGCCTATAAGTTCTCCATCACTTACACTTCGATCAATGGTGGTAAAACAACAACAAGGTCAGTGAAAGGGTAAATTTCATCATTTCGTCTGATTCATTTAGTATTTTCTGAAGCTCAGCAGAAGCGCTTCCTCTAAGATTCAGTTTAAAGTTACACACATCCTCAATCTCCACCCAAGTTCAACCTGAACACGTTCAACAAGATCACAGAATGAAGACTCTGCTGCTTTCACTCCTCTGTAAGTTTATTTCATGTCATTTTGAGTGATTAAATGTGATCAGTCATGATCAGATAATCTGAATGGTGTGTTTTCTGTTCATTCAGGTGTGTTTGTGTGTTCTCAACACACAGAAGGTGTCTCTGATCAACAGGTGACTTTAGGACAGAGAGTGACTTTAGCTTGTGAGTTCAATTTAAAAGCTGTTATTTGGTTTGTGATAAAGCCATCAGTTCGTCCAGTGATGATAATGCGCACGTTTGGATCTGAAAATCCTGAATATTACGACGAAAAATTCCGCAACAAATATTCAGAGGGAAGCAGGAGCCAATTAATTATCTATACTGTCACTGTTGATGATTTAGGAACTTATTACTGTATAAAACCAGGCTGGGATCTTAAGATCAGTGACGGTATGAGACTGGACACCACTGGTAAGCATAAAACTGTGATATATTCACACAACTGAGAGCTATATTATTGTTGTTGTTATTTTAACCCTCTGATGGTCCTCAGTCACTTCTGACCGAATAATTTTCTGTTTTGAATTATTAAAAATTACAGCTTCATCTGAAGGTTCTGATACTTGGTGACATTTTTTGGCATTTGGTATGTGAAAACAAAAAAAAATTGAGGTCATGATCCGAGCATGCTAAGTGGTCGTAAAAAAATTAGTCACGATTTTGGTCTTTGGTCAAAAATGACCCCCATAGGAAATGAATGGGCAATTGACAAAAAAACACAAAAAATCAAAAAATTTTATTTATTTATTTTACTTTTTTTTTTTTAAATAAGAAATAGTTTTTGAGATTGTTTCAATTATATATTCAAAAAAAAAAAATGTGTTCATAAACAGCTGGGGAATTCACATGCCTCTCCATAGAGAGCTGTACATGCCATCTAGGTTACACCATGATTCTACAATTTTTCTCTATACTGTAACCAGATGGTGCTAATTTTCTTCAAAAAAGATTTTTTTCTGAAGGCCTAGACTCTATATTAAACAAAAATACTGCATTAATATTAAAAAAAAAATATATATATATATATATTTCCATTGAAAAAATAGACCATAAATATTGCATAAATATTAATAAATTCAATCAAATTGTATCAAAATACTAAATTAAAAAGAGTAAATATTATAAAACAAAAATAAATTGCATTGGTTTTACTGGGATGGAAGAAGTTTCATTTTTAGGCCTCCTGTCACTTCTTACCGGGAAGGCCCAGGACGTGACTCATAAAGGAAGACCAGAGGGTTAAATAATTATTTCCAATACAATTCAAACAACAAATGAAATAAGATACTTGGCTTTTTTAAAAGATGCATCTCAAGAGGGCGGTATGTATCGAAATATCCGATATAAAATACAGTATGTATCGGAGATTGTTATATAATCATAATTATGTTTCTAATAATAATAATGTTATTTATGCAAAGTTATTTTGCAATCTAAATGGCAAGGATGCATTACAAAAAGATTAAATAACCAAACTATCCAAATTATCTGTAAATGATACAGATGAACCAGAGCAAAAGAATCCCCAACAAAATCAGATCCTGATCGTCATGTTCACCCTGCTGATGGTTGTGCTGTTTGCTGCTGTGATAGGTGAGTACAATTTATTTTTTTAATCAAAATACATCTAAATCAGGAAAATTACATTTGTCAATTAATGACAGCATTTAACCAGAGTATATTTTTTGGTTTTAGGTTTAGTAATTATGAACCGTAAAATGTCTAAGAAAATTCCTAGATATGTAAATTCTCAGCAGGTGAGACATGCCTTTTTGCTGTTTATATTAATAATTTAGTTCAGTTCAGTTATAAATGAGAATTAGCAGCTAATGTATATTTTTTTCCTTTCATTCATTTAGATTTTAGGCAGAAGAACAACATCCATTCGGACCAACGGCACTGCTGTTCCTCATCCACTGACCGATCATGAATATCTAGAAGTGCTGCCATCTTCTGAATATGAAATAGCAACATACTGAAAGATTGATTGCTGTTCGATTCTAATGATCAGAATTATGTGCTGATTTTAGCATTAAAATGTCAATCACGTTTTACAACCTTTGACCTGAGAATTTATGAACTTTGTAATGTCGTTGATTATGTCTCTTTCTGAGTTGCTATTAATTAAGTGAAATTGGATGTAGTGTATATTACTTTTAAAGCAGCTCTATGCAGTTTTTTACCTTAAAGCTACACTGTGTGATTTTTACCCCCATCTAGTGGTGAAAAGGTATATGACCATCCAGTGTTCCTCTCAATTCCGATTGCGTTTTAACTCCTACGGTGGCCAATGTAGTCCAAGATTAACATGGCTTCCAGTTTGACCTCGTCCATGAGTGTTAACTCAAATGTAAACGCGAAGCTTGAATTAACGGGTATGTCCCTCTTTGGCTAATGTACTTTCAAGATGGAGGGGCAACATGGCGACCGACATTAGAACCCCTTTACCCGTATGTATTTTCAATGGCATATTACACACTCACGAGAATACTTTATTACTTGAACGAAGTAAATATACATTAATGAGCACCTATATTTTTGAAAGAACTAAGTGTTTTTAGCTAAGAGTTAGCTTTAAATAACATTGAACTAATCAAGCAAAACAACATCAGGTGCAGCTAATCAATCAGTAACCATGGAGACAAATGACAGGGCAAAAACAACGCAAATGAACAAAAGTACAAAACACATCAGGACCCTGGCAGCTTCAATCCTTGTGGTGAACTTTATAACGGTTTAATCAGAAATGTTGCTGTACTTTAATCAGGTCTATTGCAGATCTGAAACCGTTTTACCACAGAAATGAGGATGAGGTAAAACACATCTCTAATTCAATCAACTGAATGAATTAACATGATAAAAAAAATCTTAGAAACTAATTTATGGTTATATACATACATATATAACAATCTGTGGTTTTCTGACGTGGATTTCTGTCTGTACCACCCAACCAACAAAACGTTTGTTCCTTTTCAAAAAACAAAGACAAAACCATTAGAAACATGATCAGGAGTAAATCATCTCATACAGTCTAATAGAAGTATATTCTGCTAAATATTGAGTGTAAAATATTTTTAGCTTGACTGTTGTTTATTTTAAATTGACTGATGTTTGTCAACTAAACAATAACATGTATCTAATGTAAAGCAATATATAACGTTTAAAAGTGTGTCTTAATATCCAGAGTTTATTAACTATTTTATAAACAGAGTTTATTAACTAAAGTTTCAATAAAAAGGCCTTCTACACATGATGTTGACCAATAGGAAACTATAAGCCAATGAACAATATCTAGTCCTGCCCTATATTTTTGGATTTCCTAGAACCTGTTTAACTTGGATATATGTTACAATAGAAAAGAAAAGACTATTGCAACTTCCGTTAAATGGAGACTTTTAAATACTCATGGTGCTGAAAACACCCTTACTCATTACAATGGCGAGCTTAGCCTTATTTTTTGTTTGAAAAATCAATTTCAAATATAATATAGCACGATAATATAGCACTTATGTATTTATGGAATGTAAAACTAATTGAAACTTGAAAGTCTAAACATACAATCTATATGTTTCTAATGGACTTTGGCCTATTTAATAGCTGCAACATTTTGGTCAGTGCAAGTTCAACTTCTACATCCTCTTTTCAAGAGTGGTTTCCTTTCAGTTTTTTTTCTGCATGCAGTCGCACTTCTGCTTAGATTCATAGTTAAGTGAATCTTACAGCATATGAACTCAACAACCACAGAATGAGGACGGCGCAGCTTTTACTCTTCTGTAAGTTTAAGCTACTCGATGTACTTTCACTGTGATCTTCACATGACTGGATAGTTTTGAAGGTTGATTGTGTGTTTTATCTTCACAGTTCTGCTGGTGTGTCAAACTACAGCGAGTTTAATAGATAAACAGGTGAATTTAGGGGAAAATGTGACTTTAGACTGTCAGATTGATGTAAAAGACATTTTTTGGTTTTTCCAGAAACAGACAGATTCCCCAGTGGTGATAATGAGGACTTTCACATCACATTCTACAGTCTCTCAATACTATGAAGAAAGATTCAAAGTCAAATATTCATCACTAACTTTGAGCCGGTTATTTATTAGTAACATAACTATTGATGAATTAGGAATATATTATTGTGTAAAAACAGGCATACCTCCACAGCTCAGCAATGGCATCGGACTTTACATCTCTGGTAAGTATACAATTATCAGTTGTTATATCAATAAATTATCTAAAATCATGCTGTATGTATCAAATTTGTATTTCAACCTTTATTTTTATCATCTCTGTGTAATGTTAATGCATGTTTGATGTTTCTAAACACAAAACTATTATATTTTCTTTTCTTAACAGGAGATGTTCAAGATCAGAATCAGACAGAAGTGAACAATAACTCACAAAGTCCGAATACACAGCAAACTCTGATGATTTTGTACTTCATACTGAGCATTGTGATGTTTTTGGCAATAATAGGTGAGATTTCAGGGTTATATGTATAAAATAAAACAATATATAGGTCTAATATAAAATATCTTTCTTTTAAAAGCTGCATGCTACATTCCTTTAGTGATCAATTGTATAATGTTTAAACAGAAATGTTGCTGGTATTTTAGGTGTATTGCAGATCAAAGTGTGTAAGAAAACACACCAACAATATCAAGATGAGGAACTGGAGCAGCTTTACAGCACAAATGATGAAGAGGTTAAACACATCTATAATTCAGCTATCTTTATCAATGAAAAACTCAATTCATGAATATTAGCAGCTAATTATTAATTATTATTTTGAAAAAATGATTTCCATAGTTTTCTAGAGTGGAGTTTCGTCTGTCCCGTTCGACCAACAAGACTTTTGGAAAAAAAGCCTAGGCAAACCTGATCAAGAGTGAATCCCCTCTTACAGTCTAACATAAATATATTCAGTAAAATATTATTAGCTTGATTGTTGTTTGTTTTATGTTGACTGATGTTATAGATTGTATGTATAATACAACATTTGAAATAGGGCTATCTTTTCATTGCTTCTCTTTGTTCTTGCCTTTATAAGTAAATAATTAAAAGAATACATTTCTGACTAATAAGTGGTTTTTGATTATTTTATGTGAACTCACAATGATGGAAAATGGCTAAAAGCAAACCTAGTACCTAGTGGATCAAAATGTATTATAGGCTACACACAAAAGTATTGGTTACATTGTTACTTAGTATACAAATTTATTAAGTAAAAATGTAAAATTATAAACACAAACACAAATGAATCAAGTAGGCTACATTAGTTTATAATAAAACCCAAAGCAAAATAAGAGCAACGTCAAGTATTTATTTATACTGGAAACTTACATCCTCTTAAACTTGTGTTTTAGTCTGATAAGAAAAGGTCAAACAGACTAATCCATTTTGTCATAGTTGGTGTGTGAGGCAAGGTCTGGGTGACAGGTCAAATGTCAAAGATAGAGAAAAACAGATATATTTATGAATAGAAATATTGATTTAAAAAAATAAAATACCTAAAAAAAAGTACACATTGTCCCTTTAAAGAGTTAGTTCACCCAAAAATGAAAATTAAGTCATTAATTACTCACCCCATGCTGTACCAACCCCGTAAGACCTTCGTTCGTCTTCAGAACACAAATGAAGATATTTTTGATTAAATTTGAGAGCTGTATAACTACCACATAGGCTCCTAAGGGACTGCCTCTTGACGGCCCAGAAAGTCAATGAAGAAAATGTTTAAATATTCCATGTGACTACCGTGGCTCAACTATATGTTTATCAAGCGACGAGAATACTTTTTGTGCGAAAAAACAAACAAAAATAACGACTTTATTCGACTATTCTTTTTCTTCCTTGTTGGCCTGAAACGAGACTTCAATACGATTTCCACGACGCATGCGCGAGAATTGCGATCTCCTTCAACTAATTCAGTTCAGTTCTCGCGCATTCGTCGTGGAAATCGTATTGAAGTCTCGCTTCAGGCCAACAAAGAAGAAAAGAAATAGTCGAATAAACTCGTTATTTTTGTTTGTTTTTTTGCACAAAAAGTATTCTCGTCGCTTGATAAACATATAGTTGAGCCACTTGGAATATTTAAACATTTTCTTAAAAACGTTAGAAACGTTAGTCACAAAAACAGATAAAACAGACACCCCTTCTTTTTAAAATTATATTAAATAAACATAACTATATATACAATTACATCTAAACGTATGTACGTTTCGTTTCAAAGACGGGAGGACAGTAAATTTTGAAGACTCTGCCATAATCCCGTTTTCCTCGGTTTTCCTCCGCTTTTTTAATCTCCACAACCGGAAATGGACGAGCATCCTTGCGTCAAATGCGGAACTTATGCGTGCATATAGCCCATTGCAGATCTGTAACCGTTTTACCACAGAAATGAGGATGAGGTAAAACACATCTCTAATTCAATCAACTGAATGAGTTAATATGATAAAAAATCTTTCTACAGACATTAGAAACTAACTTAAGTTTTTTTTTTTAAACCATTCTGTGGTTTTCTGAAGTGGATTTCAAAAACCATGACAAACATAATCAAGAGTAAATCATCTCGTACAATCTAATAGAAGTATATTCTGATAAATAATGAGCGTAAAATATTCTTAGATTGACTGATGTTTGATGAACAGAACATTAATGTTACGTAAAGTGTATGTGTGTGTGTTAATATCCAGAGTTTATTAACATATTTCAGTGTCAATAAAAAAACCTTGACTGGACATTTGACTGGTAAAACTTGACGTGTGTAATGCCGAGTGCAGTGTCTTCTGGTTTATCGTGTCTTGATCGTCGCACTGCATTCATCCACTCTGAATGTGTTTTCTCACAGCTGTGGGTTAGTCGGTTTCAACTCTGATCTGGTTTATATGTTAAGATCGTGTACATGGTCACACGCTGTGGAAAATATCAACGCATCCGACCTCAGATATCTTTGTCTTCATCGCTAATAAATGTGTTTGCTGGTGTCCTATTTTTTTCTGCATTAACACTTCTGCTCAGATTCATAGTAAAATATTTTATTGGATATAAATTAAACAACCACAGAATGAGGACGGCGCAGCTTTTACTCTACTGTAAGTTTAAGCTACTCGATGTACTTTCACTGTGATCTTCACATGACTGGATAGTTTTGAAGGTTGATTGTGTGTTTTATCTTCACAGTTCTGCTGGTGTGTCAAACTACAGCGAGTTTAATAGATAAACAGGTGAATTTAGGGGAAAATGTGACTTTAGACTGTCAGATTGATGTAAAAGAGATTTTTTGGTTTTTCCAGAAACAGACAGATTCCCCAGTGGTGATAATGAGGACTTTCACATCACATTCTACAGTCTCTCAATACTATGAAGAAAGATTCAAAGTCAAATATTCATCACTAACTTTGAGCCGGTTATTTATTAGTAACATAACTATTGATGAATTAGGAATATATTATTGTGTAAAAACAGGCCCAGCTCTACAGCTCAGCAATGGCACCAGACTTTACATCTCTGGTAAGTATACAATTATCTAAAATCATGCACATTATGTATCAAAGTTGTATTTCAACATTTATTTTTATAATCTCTGTGTAATGTTAATACATGTTTGATGTTAATAACACAAAACTGTTGTATTTACTGTTCTTAACAGAATATCTTCAAAATCAGAATCAGAAAGAAGTGAACAATGACTCACAAAGTATGAATGCAGAGCAAACTCCGATGATTTTATACTTCATACTGAGCATTGTGATGTTTTTGGCAATAATAGGTGAGATTTCAGGGTTATATGTATAAAATAAAACGGTAACACTTTATAATAAGGTTCATTATTTAACATTAGTTAATGTATTAACTAACATGAACTAACCATGAGCAATACATTTGTTACAGTATTTGTTAATCTTCGTTGATGTTAGTTAATGATAATAAAGCTTTGTTCATGTTAGTTCACAGCGCATTAACTAATGTTTACAAGATTTTAATAAAGTATTAGTAAATATTGAAATTAACGTTTACAAAGATTAATAAATGCTGTATAAGTGCTGTTCATTATTAGTTCATGCTAACTAATGTAGTTAACTAATGAACCTTATTGTAAAGTGTTACCAGTAAAACAATATATAGGTCTAATATAAAATATCTTTCTTTTAAAAGCTGCATGCTACATTCCTTTAGTGATCAATTGTATAATGTTTAAACAGAAATGTTGCTGTTATTTTAGGTGTATTGCAGATCAAACTTCAAGTGTGTAAGAAAACACACCAACAATATCAAGATGAGGAACTGGAGCAGCTTTACAGCACAAATGACGAAGAGGTAAAACACATCTATAATTCAACTATCTTTATCAATGAAAAACTCAATTCTACATGAACATTAGCAGATAATTATTATTATTATTTTGAAAAAATTATTTCCATAGTTTTCTGAAGTGGAGTTTCGTCTGTCCCGTTCGACCAACAAGACTTTTGGAAAAAAAGCCCAGGCAAACCTGATCAAGAGTGAATCCCCTCTTACAGTCTAACAGAAATATATTCAGTAAAATATTATTAGCTTGATTGTTGTTTATTTTATGTTGACTGATGTTATAGATTGTATGTATAATACAAAATTTGAAAAAAATCTTTTCATTGCTTCTCTTTGTTCTTGCCTTTATAAGTAAATTATTAAAAGAATACATTTCTGACTAATAAGTGGTTTTTGATTATTTTATGTGAACTCACAATGATGGAAAATGGCTAAAAGCAAACCTAGTACCTAGTGGATCAAAATGTATTATAGGGTACACATGTATTGGTTACATGGTTACTTAGTAGGCCTATACAAATTTATTAAGTAAAAATGTAAAATTATAGAGACAAACAAATGAATCAAGTAGGCTACATTAGTTTATAAAACCCAAAGCAAAATAAGAGCAACGTCGAGTATTTATACTGGAAACTTACATCCTCTTAAACTTGTGTTTTAGTCTGATAAGAAAAGGTCAAACAGACTTATCCATTTTGGTGTGAGGCAAGGTCTGGGTGACAGGTCAAATGTCAAAGATAGAGGAAAACAGATAGGCTATGAGGTCTTGTTTTGATACCTTTAAGACAATATGCATTATCTCATGTCTGCAGAGATGGAAACAGGCATATTTCGACACAAAGGTACGTTACCTTATCAATTCGATATTACATTTACAGCAGAAGAGACGCCAAAGATCTACATTTGGAAATAATCAAAATATCAAAACACATAAAATATAGCCTACTAGGCTATAAATGATTAAGGAAATAAATAACATGTAAAAGTGTAATAATCTATAAAAAAAAATAACATTAATAAAAGACATTAATCAAAAGAATAAATTGAATACAAATAGTTTCGTGTAGCTAAACTATAAACCGTATGCATTTCTTCCGTCCAACACAAAAGATGTTAAAGACGAAGTAGAGTCTCAAAGTGAAATCTAGACTCACGTGTCTGCCGTGCGAGGCTCTTCCTCCTCTGTTGCGGTCAGTTTAAGTCCTCTACAAGTTTTCTTGACTTTCTAAATATCTTCTACATGTTTATATAAATACAGACAGAGAGAGCAATGTTTTATCTCTGATTGCCTTTAATTAGGAACGGCGCCATCTACCTGCTGGTACAAGTATCACAGGCTGACTCCCTGAGGTAAACTACTCTAAATAGTTTAAAATAGCCAACCTTAGTCAACATACATTGTATAGTATTATTTAGTTATGAACATTCATTAGTTTTAAGGTGTGTTTGGGATCAAATATAGCTTTAGGCCTATCTGATTGGCCACGTGACAATACGTAGCTTAGCCTATTGAATTTTAACAGTGCCTCAGAGCGTACATTTTGGGGTATTCATAACTTATATAGTCACACACAGTCTATTTTTTTATTAAGTTAGGAGCTATAAATACTATTAAAGTGTGTGATTTTGATCACATAGGCTGCTATCGCTTCTTAATATCCCTCTGTGTGTTGGTTTGCGCGTGTCTGGGTTATTTTTGTGTGTATTTACAATTCAAGAAATGCTATTTATTTCGTAAACTATGATAAAGCTTGATATGGGTTGTTTATTTTATTTTAATTTTTATTATCAACAATTGACATACACTAGGGGGACACTTTCACACTAGGGGGCTATTGCTAATTTATATGTATTAAAGTAATTACAAATTTTCAATGTTTTAATTGTTTTTGCTTCATCGGAGTGAATCAATATAATGCTGAATTTATTTCCTGAATGAAGTAAAATAATTTTTTTTACAGGAGAATTTACATTTATGAGCATAATATTTTGCCATTAAAAGAATAAAATGAATTGTATAAATCTGACTATGCTTACTGTTCTCCCAAATACCAAACAAAATGTTTCCAAAACAACATTAACATTAATTAAATGTAATCGGAGATGGCATCATCTATCGGTTCATTCAAATTTGATTGGTCATCCTAGATTGCTTAATTTGCCAGCTAACTAAAAAGGATAAAAGATTTTCAATTGGACCTTTTAGCTGTGATAAGTCAAATGTGATATATAATGTAGGCTAATAATTGTTACCTGTACTTTGAAAAATTATTATTAATAAACTGTAAAATTAGATTTAGTTTAGGTGATAAAATAGCACTTGTGTATTTATAAAATATAAAACTAATTGAAACTTGAAATCTATTAGTCTAAACAAACTGTACTTGTATTTCATGGACTTTGGCCTATTTAAAAGCGGTAAACAGTTTGGTCAGTGCAAGTTCAACTTCTACATCCTCTTTTCAAGGGTGGTTTCCTTTCAGTTTTTTTCACACATCCGCTTAGATTCATAGTTAAGTGAATCTTACAGCATATGAACTCAACAACCACAGAATGAGGACGGCGCAGCTTTTACTCTACTGTAAGTTTAAGCTAATCGATGAACTTTTGTGATCTTCACATGACTGGATAGTTTTGAAGGTTGATTGTGTGTTTTATCTCCACAGTTCTGCTGGTGTGTCAAACTACAGCGAGTTTAATAGATAAACGGGTGAATTTAGGGGAAAATGTGACTTTAGACTGTCAGACTGATGTAAAAGAGATTTATTGGTTTTTCCAGAAACGGACAGATTCTCCATTGCTGATATTGAGGACTTTCACATCACATCATGCATCTTCTCAATTCAATGAAGAAAGATTCAAAGTCAAATATTCATCACTAACTTTGAGCCGGTTATTTATTAGTAACATAACTATTGATGAATTAGGAATATATTATTGTATAAAATCAGGCTCACCTCTACAGCTCAGCAATGGCACCAGACTTTACATCTCTGGTAAGTATTTCTAAATCACATTTACAACTGACATATAACATGTAAATATTTGTAGCTGTAAAATATCTAAAAACAAATTATTATCTATGTTACTGTAATGTATGCGCTTGCATATAGCCTAACTCTACCAGAGGTTTTTAATATTTGGCATTAAAAACACAAAACTGCACAATTTTTCTATTCAAACAGAAAATATCCAAGATGACAATCAAACAGAAAACAAAAATCGGCCACAGTGTGAGAAAACACCTACGATTGACGATCTTCCGACGGTTACATCCTTCATTTTGAACTTTGTGCTGATTATCACAATAATAGGTGAGATTTCTGTACAAAAAGTAGAATAAAAAACAAGATAACATGTTCAAAATGAATCTTCCCACTTAGTATTTAAATTAAGTTAAGTGTATTCCTTTATGAAGAGTTTCTACGAAATGTACTCAAGTACTGTTTTATAATGTATGACTTTAGGTCTGTTAACACTTAAACTTAAGAAGCCCACAAAAAGTCGACAACATCGTCAGAATGTCGAACCAGTGCAGCTCGAGGACTTTAACGCCGCACAGGTAAGACTTACATTTCAATATGAATCACTTGACATTTTAGTCCATAGAAGACATTTTTTTCCAGCTAAAAACGCAAAAAAGGTCTGACTCTGAAAGTGTTTTATAGTAAACAGGAGATAAATATATCAAATGTGTCAAAAAATTCCAGCTAAAATGTCAAGTCATTCTAGTGTTTCTCTAGAAGCTGAAAATGTTTCGAAACTTGGTGACTTTAACAAGTTGCGAAACATCTTAAACAACAGTAAAACATCCAGATAGCGAAAATAACTAACAAAATCAATCATGTGTTCACATGTGAGCTTAAAGCGCCTAATTTTCATCTTTGTTGTTCTCTAGTATTCTGAAATCGAGTTGCCAACATATTCCAGAGAAGGAAAACCCAAACAGATCAACGGCACTTACGCACTTCTCCAGATGCCAAAGCGACATAGAGTTAAACACAACTTGAACCTACAAAGTTGTTAAGGTGGTTTGACACCTCGGTTAATTTGTAGGATGTGTAAAGGACAATGAGTTTCCGTCACCGTTTGCATTAAATCACATTATTTACTTATTTTTAAAATACATATTTTGTTGGATGTTGCGAAGTAATCTTAGACGGTTTAACAGAACAATCTTGACTGATGTGGTTTCAGTTTACTATAAGGTTTGATGCGTTAACATGAAAAAAACAATGAAAGATACTTGTATTAATCCTGCTAAAAGCGATCAGCTGACTTAACTTGTTGCGTTAAAATAATTAAGTTGACGATTGTCCACATAACTTAATTTTTTCAATTACGCATGGTCATGTAATTCTAAGGCAACGGGTTTCCTCACTTTTTTAAGTTAAGTCAACTAATCACTTTTTACAGTGTAATGTTAGCGTAAATACATTTTTAACATTTGACATTGTATGAATTGACATCAACAATGGTACATTTAAACATTAAATACTACTATATAAAATAACAACCTAAACTATTAAATTGTTAAAATTGTTTGTTAGTTCATGACACTTAATGTATTAATTAATGTTAACAACTTGACATTAGTTTTACCAATAAGTTTTCTATAAGAAAAGTTTTTAAATGACTGTTATTGTGTATATTTTATGTGTTTTGAATAAAACAGTGTTGGTTTAAGATTATGTCATTGTTGCCATTGGTCTCGAAACCTGATCAGCTGATAAACCAAAACCATCAAACTAGGCCAGAAAACCATTAGAAACGTTGAATAAAAGTCCTGAATGTGTCAAACAAAGTAGAAGATGGAAAGAAAAGCACATGCATGTCTAGACGCTGGCGTATAGACCATTTCACAAGATGTAAACAACACTGGTCCAGAAGCACTTCCTGTTTCAGTTTTTTAACAGTATATAAAAGCTGGGATAAAATACAACCAACAGAACATTTAAAACAGAATCAAAAAGTTAAACCAACATCTTTAAGATGTTTTCCTTACATGTGAAATAAAGAAAACAGTTACAAACTGAAACAGGAAGTGCTTCTGGACCAGTGTTGTTTACATCTTGTGAAATAATGTCATGTGAGAACATTGGTGAAAGTCACACTTCCTGTTTTTGAACAAAGAAAACAGCAGCAAAATGTCTGCATGCATTAAAGTAAGAAGTAAAAAGGTCTGAATTTTAAGATAGTTGCAATGCAATTGTTTTGTTGCAATGAATTTCAGTATTTTACACTTTCTGTACCTTGTTTGGCTCACATTTGTGACTCAAAGACAATAAAACTTGTTTTAAGTGATGGATGGAGTTTTTATTTGAGATTCACTTTTTTATGATAATAACACAATGTTTCTCAGGTGTTAACAACAACATCTATACACAAAAAACAGTCATACTTATTATGTAGTTTTCCACTTTATAGTTATATTCAATGAAAATGACATCGCAATTTAAACAAATGTACATAGGAATGGTGTAATCACACTAAATCCAGTATTCAGGAGCACAATCAATTGAACAACAAACCATAAATACAGTTAAATTTCAATTCTTTACATACTAACATCAGATTTTCCTCTTCGGTAGATTCACATTATGCAAATCCCCAAGATACGATGATTCAGAAGCATCACAAGCAATTTTATGTCTATCTATCTATCAACAGGCATCAATAAATAATCTTTATCTGTGTTTGATGGCGTCAAAAAGACGAAGCATTTATACAATAAGCAATTCTAGTGGTACACAAACACACATTAAAAATAAAACACATTCAAATGCACTTCAATACTCAACACAAAATGGAATGGGGTTTGACGGACTTCATCAGTCCATTCGGATCTTCTGATTGGTCATCCTGTAGATGATGCTGTCGTATCCTGGATCCATGTTCCAGAGGTTGTAGGAAACAGCGATGACGGCTAAAGCTAACACGATCATCAGCCACAGGACGATGTTGAAGACAACTGCGTACTCAAAGTTGTACTTGTACGCCAGGTTGTAAGGGCTTCCTGGGTTACTCTGAAACAACCACACGCTAGCATTTAGGTGAGCGTTCAAAAGTAGGTCAGCTATGGTGGTTTCTACAGTACCGTATCGGTCTTTTTGTTTTGGAACAAAACAAACAGGGTATGGGTTGGAAAGGTGATGGTCACTAAAGCTAAAAACACTTGCTACTGTTTCTAAAAGGAATAAACACGCTAGTGCTAGCTAACCAACTACTGCTGCCTACGCAATCAGCTTTAAACGTCTTACAGCAGTGGGCCTCAATCGACTCTTTCTTCTCGTACCCTGACGAATAAAAATAACGCTGGAAACGTGGACCTCACACAACATGAGCACAATTTTATGTTCACTTCATACCGTTGTTTTGCTAAGTAGGAATGTTTGGATTTATACAGAAACTCACGATCTGCTTGGACTCGAGGATGGAGCGTGACTTCCTGGTCAGAGGGGCTTCAAACGTCTTTACGGTCACGACTTCTACAACCGCGTTGTTTCCATAGACGCTGGAGACGTCGTCTGCGAACTTCCCACATAGACAAACAAACAGATTTTACAACTAAATAATCTAATTTAATTATTATAATAATGAATAATATTGATTGTATGTTCACGACAGCGATAAATGAGATAAATGTGTAAATATCTAAATCTAATTAAATACTTTAGTTAATTTGTCATAGAAGTTCTTTAGTAATTACATCACGGTCTTAAATATTTTTGGCTTAAGTTAATTAAAATCATTTTAAATCTAACACAATTTTACCCAGTAAAATCATTATATTTCAGCCTAAAATCACACACACACACACAACACTATACTAATATATATATATATATATATATATATATATATATATATATATATATATATATATATTTTTTTTTTACTGATATATATATATATATATATATACACTAATAATATATATATATATATATATATTATATATATATATATATATATATATATATATATATATAGTTTTACTTTTTATTTTGGAAATATTTTAGTCATATCATCAGATAAAGTGCAAATTAATTCATGTAAAAAAAATCCTAATGTCATCCTAACATCTTTTAGCATCTTCCATTTAAAAAAATGGTGAATAAAACATGCTTCCAGTACAGTTTCTGAAATAAATTATGTAATTAATAGTAATTGTAAAATGTATTGAAATAATGTACTTTACATACACTACCGGTCAAAAGTTTTAGATATATTTTATATTTATATATTATATAATATTTTTTTAAATGTAATTTGAAAGCTGAATTTTCAACATAATTACTTTTGCTGATTACACATCATTTTCAGTGTCACATGATCCTTCAGAAATCATTCTAATATGCTGATTTTATGCTCAAAAAACATACATTATTATTCTCAACGTTGAAAACAGTCGTGTACCATTTTTTTCTCCCAAAATTGTATGATGAATAGAAAGAACAGCATTTATTTAAAATATAAACTTTTCTAACATTAAAATGTCTTTACTGTAACTTTTGATCAATTTAACTCATCCTTGATGAATAAAAGTATTTACTAATTTCTTTCCCCCAAAAATAAAAAATAAATTCTTACTGACCCCAAACTTTTGAATGGTAGTGATTAATGTTACAAAAGCGTTCCATTTCAGATCAATTCTGTTCTTTTGAACTTTCTATTCATCAAAGAGTCCTGAAATAAAAATGTAAAAAAAAAAAACTGTTTTCAACATGGATAATAATCATAAATGTTTCTTGAGAATCATATTATAATTATTTCTGTAGGATCATGTGACACTGAAGACTGGAGTAATGATGCTGTAAATTCAGCTTTGATCACAGGAATAAATTACACTTCACCAAATATTCACATAGAAAACCGCTGTTTTAAATTGTAATGATATTTCATATACTGTTTATTACTGTTACTGTTACAATATTACTGTTTTTTCCTTATTTTTTTATCAAATAATTGCAGCCTTGGTGAGCAGAAGAGACTTTTAAAAACATAAAAAAATCTAACTGATCTAAAACTTTTGACCGGTAGTGTATGTACATCGTTATATTTACAAGATGCCATATGTTTCAGCTCACAATACCCCACAGATCATTTGTTATGTACAAGCCCCAATTTCAAAATGCTTGTATCTTTAAATGCAAATGAGCTGTTTCCCCCTCCCACTTCCCAGAAGAGGGCGGAGCCTTTACAGCTCATGCCTCGGATACTCCAGCAACAACAAAACAGGAGAAACAGAATGGAGCCGTTTCCACAGAAAACCTCGAGTTTTTTCTCCCATTCGGGGCCATTCACACACACACACACACACACACACACAACACAGGCAGTGAAAAAACGTAAAATATCGAGATGCATTTAAAAGTTTAACTTCTTGAGCGCTGCGTTTTTAGAACGCTGTAAGATGCGATGTCCGTCTAGCACGTTTACATAGAAAAGCAAAAGTAGAGCAGTAAAATGGAGGACCTGAGATGACAGACACAAGCTCGGTACCTTCTGCAGAGCAGACGTCAAGATCCTGCTGGCGTCCGCGAACTGTGGGGAGTCTGTGCCGTAGCGGCGGGCGATCTCCTCCAATCCCGCGAGCTCGAGGGAGTACAGGTCAGGAGCCGGGTCTTTAGCCAGATGCTTGTGTTTCTGCAGCTGTAGCAAACACCAAACACACACGCTTCAATAACACAGAATCAATAAAGAAACTGGCTATAGAAGACAAACAAGCAGATTCAAAGGTGGCTACATTAACAAAATAACAATTATTCAAATTAAGAACATAAAATTAACCCATAAAATTGAATTGAAGTGCATCAGAGAAACTGACCAGAGTTGAGATGTCATACAGCACCTGAACCTCAGACAGGAACAGAAGATCAGCCTGAAAAACACAAGAACAGGTATATTTAGACAGACGTCTTATTTGTGGTAGGGGAAAAACAACAACGGCACGCATCTAATGATGTTTCGATACGCAACAACTACTTTCACATGTCGATATTTTCAGCCAGTAGCAGAAGCCACTTCCCACTTTGGTTTCAGTAACTGTTACACCCGTAACTGCATAAAGTGTGCCTATACTGTGTACAACAATACATAAATAATTAAACAAACATATAAGACACACATAAATGTTATATTTATTATATATAGGTGTTGATTGATTGAAATTTATATACATTTCCGGACAAAGTAATCCTCGGTTTTGTGGTTCATTGAATTATTTGTGTTTCCGTGCTGGAAGTTCTGCTATTATGATGGAGAGGGTCACGTGACCACTTCTTCACCTCGTTATTACGGCTGAGCGAGCTGAGAGGAAGCGACGTGAGGACAGATCCGTCCTGGGATAGACGTCCACGGATCTGTTGCAGGGTCACGGGCAGATCCTCAAAAACAGTGTTGGCCATTCCCATCATATACAGCCTCTAAAACACACAATATCAAGACATTTACTGATATTAGACACTAGAGCCAGACCGATATTAGGCATTTTCCATAATATCGGTATCGGCAGTTATAAATGAATATTTAAAAAATAAAATAAAAATGGATGAAACACGCTTTAATCATCTCTCCTAGGCCTGTTATGTTGAAAATGTATGTTTTACAATTTGCAGTATGATGTTATCCATTGCTAAATTATGGCTCATCATAGACTAGCTAACCACAAAGCAAGCTAACGCCACTATCATCAGTGGAAGACCGTTAACGTTAACATTAATG